ATACCAAAAACGAAAAAACGAAAACGTTCCAATCGAATGGCATAAAGGAAAATCAGCGATTAGATTATATGGCGATGATTATCGATAATAGTGTCATAAAGTAGAAGAAGCTAATCAACAACAACAACACAACTTTAGGTCAGTTTTTTAACGTTAGATTAGACAATCTGCTTGTAAAATCCTTATATATAAATAGCAGCAAAATTTTTTTCTCTCAAAATTACAAACAATCAATTCTTGTGGTTTTTTATAATTTTTTTTTTAATTTTAAAAATAAATTTTAATTTTTTTTTATTCTGCCAAAAAAAAGAAATCTCATCATCATGTTATTCAATAATAATAATCATTTACAGACCATTTTGTTTGCCATTTTTTTCATTTTTATTCATTTATCATTAATTTTATCATTTGAACTTTTTATTATAACCAATGTTGATGTTAGTGGTAATGGGCTACGTTTTAATCCAGAATTACATAGTAATGATGGTGTGCAAAATTCAAAAATACCATCATCATCCAGTATTTCTTATTCGTTTCCTATTCAACATCATCGACCATCAATCCATAATGATGAATATTATCGTAGTGATGGATATTCTTGGAATCCAATTTCACGATATTCTGGTTCATGGTTAAATAATATTATCAAACAATTATATCAACGAAAACAACGATTAGATTATGATGGTAATTATGTTGATGATAAGAAGCTTATGATGATGACAACAACGGAAAAACTAAAATTGTCGACAAACAGCACTGAATCATTACAGATTTATCGTCATGGTAATCGAATCTATTCAAAATGGCGTAATATTAATATTCAAAATTAAGAATAACAAAAAAAGATTGATAAAAATAATCGTAATTTATTTCTTTTTAAAATCATTTTAAAATTCGTAATTTAAAAATAGTAGTATTGTAATTGATTGGCATAAGTTATATATTGTAAAGTTTTTTTTTGTTTTGATAAACATCTTTATAATCAAATCAATAATAATAACAACAATAATGTATAGAAGAATAATCTTTCTTTCTTTATAACGATAAAAATAAAATAAAATATATCAAACTTCAATAATAGAACCTGTATTGATCATTGAAGATGGTGTTGTTGAACTATTAGTAGTTTCAATGATTGGTATCGATGATAAATGATCAACATTTGATAAAAGTTTATCAAAATGTTGTTTTAATTCATCAAATTTTTGACAAACTAATGCAATACGACCTTGTAATTCATGTGGTATATCAACATCAAGACCATTACGAAAACGTTCTTGTAATTCTAAAAATGGTATCTCTTCAATTATCAGTCGTTGATGTAATGATTGAATTTGTTGTTGATCTTCATCCGAAAATAAATGTGGACAAAATTTATGTTTTCGTTGAAACCATTCCATTTTACCGGTAATCATACGCAAACAATCAGTTGCATCAGCAATTGATGCTTCAGCATCTTGATGATGTATTGAACATTTATGATATTTAATTATATCGATTAATGATATATTTTTTGTTAATAATGTTGATGGTTCCATTGTTTGTTGTTGTTGTTCATCAGTAGGACTTGGTAATGTATCCGATGATTCTGATGGACTTGAATCATATGTTCGATCAAAATGAGACATGATTTTTTTTCAAAGATTAATATTTTGGATAAAAACGAAATACAAAAAATTCAAATTCAACAATGATGAGTTGGCAAACACAGAAACAAAAACAAAAAAAAACTATTCAGTGTCAGTTGAACTTTGGCTGTATTAAAGTGATGAAAAACATTGAAAAATAATTATTATTA